CGAGTAAAAGAATGAGGTCTAGGAAAAGGAAACGGGAGATAGAAGAGACAAGTCTTTCGGCGGATGCAGTTTCCGAGAAGAATCTATAAGAGACGGCTCCCATGATTCTAGCGCGATGGAAAACAGCGGCCTATAAGAGCAGCTCAGCATCCAGGACGTTGGCCAAGGTGCTGCGGGAAATGGAAGCCTTGACGACTCCGGGAACGGAGGATGACTTCAAACTCCAAATGGCAAACGCAAAAGGGGGTTCGAGTAGTGGACAAACGTGCGAAGTCGACATCGGCAAGAAATGGCTTTCGACTCAACACCAGACAATTAAGAAGCAAGTGACGTGCAATCCTCTTGAGAGAAATGTGACGAAAAACACCGCTCAACCTTGGTGGATAGCTCCGGAGACCACGAAAGAAATGGAGAGTTGCCTGGAGAAAATTGATCTCGGGGTGTCCCGCAAGCGGCGGCATTGGGCTACCCAGCAGAAGGCTGAAGTTAATTAGCTAGAGTTGGGAAACCATCTGGGGCGAGCTTGGGAGAACCTGCGGCTAGAGTACTTTGAAGATGCGATGAGAGCACCCTCGTCGGCATTGCCATTGATGGTGAAGCCTTTTGTCAGAACGGCAGGACAGTTGATGTTCACACAGAGTTTGGCGGGAGTGGCGTTAGAGGAGTTGACCTCGCACGATAAACTTAAGCTGGGCGACAGGGGTCTGCGGGTATATTAAATGCTGGTGCAGCTTATTGCCCGATACAACTCGGGATTGAGCCTAGCGAGGAGAAAAGATTTCACGTGTTTCTTGAGGTGGATCATGTCAGTGATAACCGCCACTACTATTCAAGTGTGCCATCGAAAAGCGATGGGAAGTAAACCTATGGAAAGGAGAGTCTCCACTGTCATCCTGAACGTGTACCAGAGTATTGGAATCGAAAAAGGGGATGGCTCAAGGCAGTCTCTAGAGAGCCATGGAAGCTTGATGAAATACGAAGGTTCTACAACAAGAAATTCGAGGAGGGGCATGACGAGCATCGTAATTTAGCCCAAGCAGATGACTATTCGAAGCCCACAAAACCACGAGAGTATCAATAGGTGTCTGGAGTAATCGGAATAGTTTATGACCCATGTCAGAGGGTATTAATTGACGGAGCCTTCTCGATACCCAAGTGTGTACGCCTGGCTCGAATGTCGCATCACTCACATAAACTGTTAAAGAAGATCCTGGGGCTGTGCCGGTGGACCAAGGAGAGAACTTGAGTGAGATCTGGGGTAAAGAACTCTTGAGCATACAAAGAGAAAACACAAGTGATTTCGAGAGACAGAACACGATCGGGAAAGTGATGAATAGAGTCCCAGCAAGGGGCGAAAATGAGGTGACGCATGAGAAAATGATGGAGATTGAACCTGTGTTGGAAACTTTCGGAGAACGCAACCTCCTGAGTATCAGCCTGACACATGGTGAATGCCCAGGCCACTGTCTGGCACAAACAGTGTGGTATCCGGAGCGTTCGAACATTGCTTGATATTGGACGTGGAAGAAATTCGGTCAATTGGGTTACCCGATCATCAGCAGAAGGTCACCCGTTTCGTGGTGAGCTCCATGCTGGCGTCTTTCTTTCTTCTTTCTTTCATTGTGGGTGCGCCGAAGTTTTCCGAAGGGTCCGCTTCGCCAGCGCGACCGCACTTTCTGGGTCTTTGGCGAGAATTGACAATTCCACCGTCGTGCGTCCAAAAATTTCTTGTCTGGCCGCTATCGTCTCAGGGCAATCGAGGAGCCAGTGTTCCACTGTTTCGTTGGCCTCCTCGCATCTGGGACAGGAGGGGCTCTCGGCGGGGTTCATCAGAGTCCTATACCCGGCCAAGAGCATGCTGTATCCAGAGCGGAGCGGAGCTGTATCCCCCGGGAACGGAGGATGACTTCAAACTCCAAACGGCAAACTCAAAAGGGGGTTCGAGTAGTGGACAAACGTGCGAAGTCGACATCGGCAAGAAATGGCTTTCGACTCAACACCAGACAATTAAGAAGCAAGTGACGTGCAATCCTCTTGAGAGAAATGTGACGAAAAACACCGCTCAACCTTGGTGGATAGCTCCGGAGACCACGAAAGAAATGGAGAGTTGCCTGGAGAAAATTGATCTCGGGGTGTCCCGCAAGCGGCGGCATTGGGCTACCCAGCAGAAGGCTGAAGTTAATTAGCTAGAGTTGGGAAACCATCTGGGGCGAGCTTGGGAGAACCTGCGGCTAGAGTACTTTGAAGATGCGATGAGAGCACCCTCGTCGGCATTGCCATTGATGGTGAAGCCTTTTGTCAGAACGGCAGGACAGTTGATGTTCACACAGAGTTTGGCGGGAGTGGCGTTAGAGGAGTTGACCTCGCACGATAAACTTAAGCTGGGCGACAGGGGTCTGCGGGTATATTAAATGCTGGTGCAGCTTATTGCCCGATACAATTCGGGATTGAGCCTAGCGAGGAGAAAAGATTTCACGTGTTTCTTGAGGTGGATCATGTCAGTGATAACCGCCACTACTGTTCAAGTGTGCCATCGAAAAGCGATGGGAAGTAAACCTATGGAAAGGAGAGTCTCCACTGTCATCCTGAACGTGTACCAGAGTATTGGAACCGAAAAAGGGGATGGCTCAAGGCAGTCTCTAGAGAGCCATGGAAGCTTGATGAAATACGAAGGTTCTACAACAAGAAATTCGAGGAGGGGCATGACGAGCATCGTAATTTAGCCCAAGCAGATGACTATTCGAAGCCCACAAAACCACGAGAGTATCAATAGGTGTCTGGAGTAATGGGAATAGTTTATGACCCATGTCAGAGGGTATTAATTGACGGAGCCTTCTCGATACCCAAGTGTGTACGCCTGGCTCGAATGTCGCATCACTCACATAAACTGTTAAAGAAGATCCTGGGGCTGTGCCGGGGGACCAAGGAGAGAACTTGAGTGAGATCTGGGGTAAAGAACTCTTGAGCATACAAAGAGAAAACACGAGTGATTTCGAGAGACAGAACACGATCGGGAAAGTGATGAATAGAGTCCCAGCAAGGGGCGAAAATGAGGTGACGCATGAGAAAATGATGGAGATTGAACCTGTGTTGGAAACTTTCGGAGAACGCAACCTCCTGAGTATCAGCCTGACACATGGTGAATGCCCAGGCCACTGTCTGGCACAAACAGTGTGGTATCCGGAGCGTTCGAACATTGCTTGATATTGGACGTGGAAGAAATTCGGTCAATTGGGTTACCCGATCATCAGCAGAAGGTCACCCGTTTCGTGGTGAGCTCCATGCTGGCGTCTTTCTTTCTTCTTTCTTTCATTGTGGGTGCGCCGAAGTTTTCCGAAGGGTCCGCTTCGCCAGCGCGACCGCACTTTCTGGGTCTTTGGCGAAATTGACAATTCCACCGTCGTGCGTCCAAAAATTTCTTGTCTGGCCGCTATCGTCTCAGGGCAATCGAGGAGCCAGTGTTCCACTGTTTCGTTGGCCTCCTCGCATCTGGGACAGGAGGGGCTCTCGGCGGGGTTCATCAGAGTCCTATACCCGGCCAAGAGCATGCTGTATCCAGAGCGGAGCGGAGCTGTATCCCCCGGGAACGGAGGATGACTTCAAACTCCAAACGGCAAACTCAAAAGGGGGTTCGAGTAGTGGACAAACGTGCGAAGTCGACATCGGCAAGAAATGGCTTTCGACTCAACACCAGACAATTAAGAAGCAAGTGACGTGCAATCCTCTTGAGAGAAATGTGACGAAAAACACCGCTCAACCTTGGTGGATAGCTCCGGAGACCACGAAAGAAATGGAGAGTTGCCTGGAGAAAATTGATCTCGGGGTGTCCCGCAAGCGGCGGCATTGGGCTACCCAGCAGAAGGCTGAAGTTAATTAGCTAGAGTTGGGAAACCATCTGGGGCGAGCTTGGGAGAACCTGCGGCTAGAGTACTTTGAAGATGCGATGAGAGCACCCTCGTCGGCATTGCCATTGATGGTGAAGCCTTTTGTCAGAACGGCAGGACAGTTGATGTTCACACAGAGTTTGGCGGGAGTGGCGTTAGAGGAGTTGACCTCGCACGATAAACTTAAGCTGGGCGACAGGGGTCTGCGGGTATATTAAATGCTGGTGCAGCTTATTGCCCGATACAATTCGGGATTGAGCCTAGCGAGGAGAAAAGATTTCACGTGTTTCTTGAGGTGGATCATGTCAGTGATAACCGCCACTACTGTTCAAGTGTGCCATCGAAAAGCGATGGGAAGTAAACCTATGGAAAGGAGAGTCTCCACTGTCATCCTGAACGTGTACCAGAGTATTGGAATCGAAAAAGGGGATGGCTCAAGGCAGTCTCTAGAGAGCCATGGAAGCTTGATGAAATACGAAGGTTCTACAACAAGAAATTCGAGGAGGGGCATGACGAGCATCGTAATTTAGCCCAAGCAGATGACTATTCGAAGCCCACAAAACCACGAGAGTATCAATAGGTGTCTGGAGTAATGGGAATAGTTTATGACCCATGTCAGAGGATATTAATTGACGGAGCCTTCTCGATACCCAAGTGTGTACGCCTGGCTCGAATGTCGCATCACTCACATAAACTGTTAAAGAAGATCCTGGGGCTGTGCCGGGGGACCAAGGAGAGAACTTGAGTGAGATCTCGGGTAAAGAACTCTTGAGCATACAAAGAGAAAACACGAGTGATTTCGAGAGACAGAACACGATCGGGAAAGTGATGAATAGAGTCCCAGCAAGGGGCGAAAATGAGGTGACGCATGAGAAAATGATGGAGATTGAACCTGTGTTGGAAACTTTCGGAGAACGCAACCTCCTGAGTATCAGCCTGACACATGGTGAATGCCCAGGCCACTGTCTGGCACAAACAGTGTGGTATCCGGAGCGTTCGAACATTGCCTGATATTGGACGTGGAAGAAATTCGGTCAATTGGGTTACCCGATCATCAGCAGAAGGTCACCCGTTTCGTGGTGAGCTCCATGCTGGCGTCTTTCTTTCTTCTTTCTTTCATTGTGGGTGCGCCGAAGTTTTCCGAAGGGTCCGCTTCGCCAGCGCGACCGCACCTTCTGGGTCTTTGGCGAGAATTGACAATTCCACCGTCGTGCGTCCAAAAATTTCTTGTCTGGCCGCTATCGTCTCAGGGCAATCGAGGAGCCAGTATTCCACTGTTTCGTTGGCCTCCTCGCATCTGGGACAGGAGGGGCTCTCGGCGGGGTTCATCAGAGTCCTATACCCGGCCAAGAGCATGCTGTATCCAGAGCGGAGCCTGGCTAGCATGACTGCGCCTCTTATCGACAGAAGGGTCTTTTCGTCACGTTTTCTTGACAGCTTTTGGTAGACCTGAGCTGTTCTGGCGTGAGAGGGGCTTGGATTTTTAATCGTACGTTTGATGGTGGCTACGGAGCTCTTGTAGGTGGTTGGTTTTGCTCTCTCCTTCAACCCAGAGGCTTCATTGGCCAGAGCGTCGGCCCTCTCGTTCCCTACAATGCCCACGTGGCTAGGGATCCACTGAATGATGATCTCGCGGTTGAGTGTGTCAAGTTTTCTAGTGATGTTGCTCACTTCTCTGCTGTCGTTTGCCAGAGCCGATGTCAGGGCTTGGCTATCAGTGCAAATAAGGCCCTTGTCACTATTGTTAGGGGTGTTATCCTCCAACCACCTAACTGCAGCTCCCAGTGTCTCATTCTCTTCGTCAAACGAGGAGGTGAGCATCCTGCCGCGAATCGTCTCGAAGAAGTTGGTTTGAGGGTCGAGGGGATCACCTGTCGTAACAACCATTGCTGACCCTCCGTCCCTAGTCCCATCTTTGGCGGAACCGTCTGTGTAGATGGTCATGTGGCGTCGATGTTCCGAATCGTCTCGGTCGCCTTCTGTTTCGTCTCTTCGGAGCATCTCAAGCCTACGACGGTGTTGTTGATCCGCCAACGTCTCTGTGGGGTCCAAACCTCTTCCTCAATGGTGGGAAGGGGCTCCCTGTCGGCGAGCTCGTTGGGGAGGGTGGAACTGATCCTGTTGCTGAGTTCTCTCCAGCTGTCTCTGCAGAGCCGGTGAGGTTGGTCCTTCTCCAGGGCGATACGAGCGGGGTGGCCCTCGGGGCACCTGTAGGCTCTCTCCCGGTAGATGGCTGTGAGTCTCTGAGAGTTGGTCCGGTAGCTCTGCATGCGGCTCTCCAGACGCAGGGCCTCAACTGGAGTGGAGGCGGCTTGCCCAGTAACCCGACGGAGGGCCTGGTTCTGGGCGCGGTCGAGTCTGTCCATCTGGGTTTTGGAGAGTCATGGTTGCGAGGCAGGGGCGGCAAAGTCCATGATGCTCCGCTGGTGGCAAGAAACACTCTCCCCAAGGGTTTCTTCTTCCAGCCCCAGTTTGAAGTCCTCAAGCAGGCCAGGAGGTTGCAACGTTTGCGAACCTTGTCGACCACCTTGTCGACGTGCTGCTGGAAGGACAGGGTCCTGTTGATCACCAGCCCCAGGAGTTTGGGGCAGGGATCGAACTTGAGGGTGTTACCCCCCAACGTAATGTCCGGCTTCCATCTGGCGTCCCCGGAGCTAGAGGAGAAGAAGGTGACCACGCTCTTCTCACTGAGGAGCATCTTCTTCTTCTTCTTGCACCATTCATCGATCTTCTGGACAGCCAGTTGTACGTATCTGCTAGCTTCTTCTTTGTTGTAATGGCTGGACCAGATGGTGAGGTCGTCAGCGAAGAGACTATCGTTGACAAGGTTTTTGATCTCATCGGGCAAAGAGTTGATGTAAAAGATTAACAGCAGGGGGAGGTCACAGCTCCCTGCGGAACTCCGTGGATCAGCCATCTTGTGCGACAAAGGCTGCCGTTGAACATCGTTCGAAATTGCCTGTTGCTAAGGAAGGCGTCTCACCAACTTCCACACCCTATCGTAGGCCCGGGAAAGGTCCAGGAGAGCCATGACGGTCCGTCTCGGTTTCTTCTCTTGGAAGCCGTCGCTGACGTCCTGGATCATCCGCAGGAGCTGGTCTTCGCAACTTCTGTTTTTCCTGAAGCCGGCCTGCGAATGTTTGAAGATGCCCCTGGCCTCCGCCAGATGGTACAGACGAGTGTGAACCATCCGTTCCATGGTCTTCATGATGCAGGAGGTGAGGCTGACGGGACGGTACGACTCGATCGAGCCCGCTGGTTTCCCTGCCTTCAGCAAAGGAATGATGGTCGCATTCCGCCAAGCCTGCGGCACTTCCAACTCGTGGAGCGACTGGTTGAAGCTCCCCAGCAACTCCCCCCTCGCTAGAGGTCCCAAGGCTTTCAGGAAACTGGGGGGGATGTCGTCGGGGCCAGCCGCTCCGTTCTTCCTCATCTTCTTGATGGCTCTGTTCAGCTCCTCAATGCTGAATTCTGCTGTGGAGCTGTCGTCCACGCTAGGAGCGTTGCCTCTGATTTTGGCAAGTCTGTTTTTCTCCCTTTCCTCTCTAGAGAATTCCAGCTTGCTCACCTTGGCATTATGGGCAGCGAAGGCATCGGCTTTGCTCTCGTAAGAGACAAGGACCTTGCCGTTGTGGCGGATCGCCTCGTTAGGGCAGCACAAGTCCGGCTGGCCGCTGATGGAGCCGAGGATGCCCCATGTCTTCGTTAACCTTCGTTAACCTCTCCGCAGGCGGTGACCCATTCTTGGCGGTGGGTGTTGATCCGTCTGCGGGAAAAGTTCCTTTTCTTGACCAAGGCTCTGACAGTCGCAGAAATGCCCGCGTTGCGATGTTTGCCGGGCTTCGTCTTCCCCACGTGCTCCTTGGCAGCACTCAGGATGTCTTCCGTGAACTTCTTGGCTCTTCTGTGAACTGTGTCCAGTGGGTTCCAGCTGCTGGCTGGCTCTTCCACCGCAGAGGAGAAGGCGGCCCAGTTGACATCCTTCTTCTTCCAACGGGCGTTCTTCTCCAACTGCGGAAACTGGACGACGGTGCATCTGATGGTGATCACCACAGGGAGGTGGTCCGATCCCAAACACTCACCGACCGTCCACTCAGTCTTGCTACTCCAGCTCGACGGAGTGAAAAGGACGTCGGGCGAGCTCAGGCCTGCAGTGCCCCGGTTGACGCGAGTGGCCCACCCATCGTTGGCGCACACGAGGTCGTTGTCGGCCATCCACTCCTCTAAACGATCTCCTCTGCTGTCTTGAGGCTGTGACTGGTCCCACAGCTGGGAGTGGCCATTGAGGTCGCCCCCGAAGAAGCTGTCTTTGCCGACTTGAAGGTTGTCAAGAACCAACACTTCCTCGGTGTTCGTGTCCCTGTTGGTCGGAATGTAGAGATTGTGGAGCGTGATCCAGCTTTTCTTGCTCAGCCAAATTTTGAGGCGGGACGACTCCACGTTACCCGTCATCTGGTTCCAACAGGGGCGGGACTCGAAAGCTATGTCATCCTTCACGAAGCTGATGAGGCCGCCGCCTGGTTTAGGTCCTCTACGGTCTGCCCTGACCGTGCTGTAACCCTCGATCCTTGGAGTCTTGTCTTTCACGCGGAGCTTGGACTCCTGGATCAGAGCGATATCCACGCCCAGATTCTTCATCCTTTCTCCGAGTTCGTTGATCTTTAGTTTAATGACGTCAGCATTCCACTGAAAGAGTCTAAGTGTCCCTTTCGGCACGAACTTAGCACTGCTGCCACGCTCTTCCGCGTCTTGCTCGTTGCCAGGCTGAGAGTTAGTGGGGACACACCCGCAGGCCCAGGACAGGCCGCCTGCGTACATCTCCACCTCGTCCCGCGTAGACCCGCGCCGGCCGACACACACCTTGTGGAACAGGCCTTTGCAGTCTGCGCAAGCGATCCCCGTCGTGTTGCGGGCAATAGTCTTCTAGCACCCTTGGCAGGTGCGCTTCTCTCCCGAGTCGGGATCCGGCTGGGAAGAAGAGAGGCTGCTCACCTCCCTGCCGGCAATCGTCAAAGAGGGCGGGAGCGGAGCGGTGTAGTGTTTTGGGCAGCTCCAGTCTCCCGTGGCGTATCTGCTACGCTTGCTGCATTTCTTGTGGCACGTCACCTGACACTCGGGCTCGCTGCACGTGAGCCCTGGTTGGTGAGGGCGGACAATCCCCATGCAGGAGATACAAATGCCGCTGGGCCGTGCTGGGATCGCTGTTGGAGGCTCTACAGCGGTCCCGCCGTGTGACCTGCATCTCCACTCTGGTTGAATCCAATATCTGCTCATCCCGCTGCATTCTTTCTTCTTGTGGCATACAGCAGTGCACCCGGTCTCGCTGCACTCCAAGGACGGAGCGCCACTGCGGAGGGTCACATTGCAAGACGAGCAACTGGGACAGGGTTTGACTCGACGTCTCCAGCTCTGATTAACTCACAGGGGTCGTGCGCTGGAACCACGCCCCTGTTAGACAAAAACCCGGACGCGCGACTGGTGGGTGTCCATTCCACGCCGGGGGCCTGTGAAGCTCCATCCACGAAAAGAGGAGGTTTCGTATGAAATCCAGTTTGCCACGTGAAGGCACTCCTCTTCGAACTGGCATGCTGGCGTTACGGTGGATCGAGGAAAACGTGACGAAATATCGAGAGTCGACGGCACCAACAGCGGAATCAATACATGCGATTGATTACAGCTGGAGACTGCGTGCAGAGTGTTCTCTATACTCATGGAGGTGAGGCACGTTGGAGTCGCATAAGAAGCTTCCCTTGGTTTCGAGCGACGTTGACGTCTTGGTTGTACACGGTGACGAAGGATCACATGAAGAAGCATCAGAAAGAAAACGACAGTTCCTGGCCGAGATAGCGCGCAAGCTTTCAAGAGACCCTTGCTAACCCATCGCAATGAAATAACCACGGGTTGGAAAAGAGTTAGTAGTGTGTCTCGAGATAACACCAAAGCGAGGGAACCGATATTGGAGGAGGAATTGGCGAAGAACGTGAGTCTAAGCTTGCTCATTTCCTTTTGGGTGAATAGGGAAACTAAAGTGAAGGGTCTGTCGAATCAAGCGAAAAGGCCACAAGAGCTAAAGAAATGGATGCGGGCCTACGAACAGCTGAATGCATGGGAAGAGATCGTAATCTGTTCCGATGACGAAGAAGAAATGGCAAGGCAGAATACGATGTCGAGTGTGTTCAGGACAAGGGGCACAAACTGAAGAGCATGTTCAGGGATTGGTTCTTGAGTCGTGGGCGCGGGAACGAAAAAGGGACTTGAGTGTGAACTCAGATGAAGTTTGAGGGCACGGAAAATAAATTTTAAAAAAAATTTTTTGTTACTAGTTTACTATATCTACTATATAAATCAAAATGCTGCATGACAATTTTCTGAATGGGCAAAACAAAAAAAATTTTACTGATAGTTTACACAGCTGGAATTCAGGGTGCAGGTGTATGCAGATTTTGATTGCTGTTTAGTGATAATGTGACAATTTTGCATGGCTGCTGTGAATTTTGGGGTTTAGATAAAGTTAAATCTGCTGCCAACTTCTCTAGATGACCACTGGCACTGTATCTTGAGACGCACTCAACATGAGGGGGCTCACTTACAGAAGGCGACACGCCATGAGGACATCAATCTTGAGTACGGGGAGTATGTGCCAGTCCGTCATTTTTGGATGTTTGACCTTGGGAAAACATTTAGTTTTGATTTTGGGGTGAAATACAATTTTTCAAAAATTCGAACTTAGCATGACATGCTCAAGATTCTCGCGACAACTGAAAGACAAAAAAATAGGATCAGAAGAAGCCGACCACAATCGCGGGAAAGTAGTCAAAAAATAGCAGCAAAAATTGCTATTCGCAATCTCTAATATATATCTCGAACGAGAGTAGAGCTGTCTTATTCTTGGCAGAAGACGGAAAATGATCGCGAGTGGAGAAGAAAGAAATTAGAGTGGACCAGAATGAATATTCGGTGGAAAGGTGGACATCTGAAGCTGCTCAATGGTCCAGATCAAT